AAATTTGCAAAGACCATGCCACTCATTACTTGACAATGTTGTTAAAAGCATTTTTAAAAAGTGGCTTAAAAAACAGCTGCCACACAAAATGAAATATAAATTTAACCTTTAACCCAGCAATCCCATGTCTCAGAATCGATTCCACAGAAAAGCTGGTAAAAATAAGAAAAGATACATGCATAAAGCTATTCATTTCAGGACCATTTGTAATAGCAAAAAAAACTGGAAATGATTCCAACACTATCCAGAGGGGACCAGTCAACTCATGTTACATCTACCTAGAGAATACCTGCAGCTGTGAAAAGGAATGATGAACACCTCTATGCACTAACAAAGAATAAACTCTAGGACATCTACAATAATAAAAGCATAACATGCTAATTAGACTGAATGTCCTTCCGGACTAAGCCAGGGCTGCGAGAGAAGCCCAGGTCCCAGGTGTCTGCCAGTGGCCAGAGGGAAGCCCGGGTCCCAGGTGCCAGAGGGAAGTCGGTGCCGGCAGCCGGGGGAAGGAAGGCCTACTCTTGCACAAATTTCTTGCACTGGGCCTCTAGTATAAAATAAAAAACAAAGAGGAGGAAAATGTGTAACTTGCATCTCTAAAGAAGTGACTCACGTTAAATGAAGTCACTGGGGTGGCTCTAATGGAATCTGACTGGTGTCCTTATAGAAGATGAGGACACAGACACAAAGGGTTACCACATGAGGACACAGGGAGAAGACAGCTGTCTATATGCTCAGGAGAGGTTACATTACATGAAGAATTCTTGCAACTTAATAAAACAAACATAACTAAAACATGAGCAAAAAACTCAAGACACACCTTCAAAAAGATATTATGGACGGCATATAAACATATTAAATGATACTCAATGTCACTGGTCATTAGGAAAATGCAAATTAAAACCACAATGAGAGGATGGTGACGTAGAAATATCTGAACTCACTACCCCGAAAAGACACATTTTTCCCTCTTATAAACAAATAAACAAAAAACAACTAGACGACTACACATCAGGCAAACAGGAAAAACGGCCCTGCTCCAGAGCACCCGTATCTCCTGGAAGGGAGGCCTTACCACATGCCTGATGCCCCAATTTTTGCAACTGCCCTTGATCACCTGGCTCTTGAGGCCAAGGGAGCTATGTTCCTGGCTACATGGGACTAAAATAATCAGTGTCACCCAGAAAAGAGCTCATACCCCAGTCTGGCACCCCAATATTTGTGAATGCTGCCAGGGGACACCTCTACATCACCTATCTCTGGTGGCTAGCGGGGCTTACACTGGTGGGCCCTCTGGACTGTAACCAACAGAGAAAGATTTTTTATTTTATTTATTTTTTTAAATATATTTTTACTGATTTCAGAGAGGGAGAGAGAGAAAGAGAGAGCGTGAAAGATAAACACATCAATGATGAGAGAATCACTGATCGGCTGTCTCCTGCATGCCCTAACTGGGGATGGAGCCTGCAAGCGGGGCCATGTACCTGGTCTGGGAATCGAACCGTGACATACTGGTTCATAGATCGACACTCAACCACTGAGCCACACCAGCTGGGCCAGAGAAAGATTTTTTAAACAGCTACCAACCCCAGAGCACAGCAAGAGGCAACAGGCCCAGGAGCCTAGTCTTTCTGTGAAGAAGGCCTATTAACAAATCATCATGACTGCAGTCTGAGAGGCAGGCTTCTAATTAAACTGTAATCCTTTCCAGAGACCTCAGAAGGCAAGTGCTAGCATCACGCTCACCCTCTGCAGAGCTCCAGAGTGCCAGTGTCTCCTGGAAGGGAGCTTTATACATGTTTGCTGCCCCTTGATCACCTTGCTGTGATGTTAGGAATGGGTAGGGGGTGTCTTGCATTCTTATTAGGTCTCACAGGACTGTGGCAATCAAAGAGATGATTATTAGCAGGCTACCACCCCCAGGGCACTGCCCAGATAGTGGATTGAGATACACCTCCAGTCTTTCTAGGAAGGAGGCTTCTTACACAATTGTCCAGTAGCTTCAGGCTGAGGAGCAGGCTTCAGGTTTGGCCCAGACTTAAAGGCCTACGTAGCTGCTCTCAAGGAACATAGGTTGTAGACACCATCTTGGCAGTCTCCTTCTGCCTTGCTCCAGCTCACTGTATCACCCAGAAAAGAGTGTATACTTGTCTGGAGCCACAATCTCTCTGACTACCAACCAAGGGACACCTCCAGAGAGACTGGCTCTGGTAGCAGCGAGGCTTATACTTGCAAGCCCACAGGACTATATACACACACACACACACACACACATATATATACACACACACATACATATATACTAGAGGCCCGGTGCACAAAATCTGTGCTGGAGAGAGAGTTTCTCTTCAAGCCAAGCTGGCACCTTCTCTAATCAAGACCTTTCAGGGGA